TGTCAATAATGTGTATAAACGTACTTGTTGCTTTTGTTGTCGTATACCACAGAGTCAGTTCTGACTGTAGCGATCCCATGTGTTAAAGACTAGAACTGCTCCATAGCATTTTCTTGGTTGTAATATCTATGGAAGGAGATCTCAAGACCTTTTCTTCCACAGTGCTTCTGGGTAGGTTCAAACCTTTCAGTTACCAACAGACTGCAAACCATTTTGGCACCCAGGGACCTGGATGCATGTGATGAACAAGTTAATGTGATGTGGGGTGATTGAGGGGTTACTTTAGTTTGGGTGTCAAAGTGGTCCACTCAGAAAAATTTGAACTGAGACTTCAATGATAGAAAAGAGCCAACTGTGTAAAGAAGCTGAAGATAGGCTCTAAATCAATATGCTCTAACGTCAGTATCCAAGACTGTATTGCTTTAAGAAGATTTGAAAATACATGTTAATAGAACTTTTTAGGAATGAGAAAGTGTCTTGATTTTACTCCATTCAGTAGTTCAAACACACCAGCTGCTCCTTAGAAACCCTATACAGGGTCACAATGAGACAGAACCAACTCGATAGCACTTAACAGCAACTGTTTATTTGTGTGTTAATATACAGTACTGAAATTATAAAGTTCCTGGGTAGTGTAAATGGTTGTACTCCCTTAGACCTATAGTTTGATGGTTCCAACCCACTTAGGAACACCACAGAAGAAAGGTGTAGATATTTGTTTCTGTAAGGATTACAGCCAAGTAAATCCCTATGGAGCATACGTCTCCTCTGTAATACATGGTATCTTATGCTGGGTTCTCTAAAGAAGCAAAACCCATGATGTTTAAACGAAGGAAATGGTTCATACAGTTGTAGGGGTAGGCAAGTCCAAAGTGCATGGTCAGCTGAAGATCAACAGATCATATGGCAGGCAGGCAGTTAGTCAGGCAAGTACGATAGCAGGCTGCTACAACTCCTCCCAGGATTGGCAATAGAGCAGGCCACAGGCTGAAGTCCAAAGAACCAGATATCGGATGATCAGCCAGCTGCAGAAGAAAGCAAGCTTTGTCTGAGTGTCCAAATATTGGAAGCAAGCCACCCTCTTAGGAAACTTCATTCCTGTTAAAAGCTGATCGTATCATAAAAGATTACTAAGTCTTAACTGCCAAACCATTGAGAATCCTGACCCAGTCAAATTGACACAAAACCTTAACTTATCACACAGGGTGTCTCCAGTAGTGAAAATGGACTTTACTAAAATAGGTAGTGAAGTTGTAATTTATTCTAGTGTTTAAAAAAACTGTTTACAATGTGTATGTTTATGGCCCACTTCTGAAATTCAAAGAGGTTTAGTGTTAAATTGTGTCTGTGCTGCTGCTGAAGGACTTGACAGGCTCAGTCAAGGGGGTCTTGTACCACACACCTTGTTGTTGCTGTTATTAGGTACTGTCAAGTCAGTTCCAACTCACAGCTACCCTATGGACAACAGAGGAAAACACACCCCATCTCATTGGGGGTCTTCTTTTTCATTGATCATCCACTGTACCAAGCAAAATGTCCTACTGCAGGGACTACTTCTTCCTGATAACCTGTCCAAAGTATGAGAGACTCACAATCCTCACTTCTAAGGAGCACTCTGGTTGTGTTTGTTAAAAGAGATTTTTTATTGACAGTACCATGGACTTCAAGAAGGATTCTTAGCCAACACCATAATTCAAAAGAATCAATTCTTATACAGTCTTTCTTTTTCATTGTATATCTTTCACATGCATATTAGTGGTGGTGGTGTGCTGTGGAGATGGCTCCCACTTATAGTGACACTGTATAGGGTTTCTGAGGTTGTGAATGTTTGTGGGAGCAGAAAACCTCATCTTTCTCCCACAGAATGGCTGGTAGTTTCAAATTGCTGACTTTGAGATTAGCATCCCGATTGTAACCACTATACTAGTAGAGCTCCTGCACATTCATTTTAGGTGACTGGCAATATCATGACTTGGGTAAGGTGCACCTTAGTCCTCAGAGTGATATCTTTGCTCTTTAACCCTTTAATGCTTTAAAGAGGTCTTTTGCAGCAGATTTGCATAATGTAATATATAGTGTCATTTGACTATTGCATCCGTGAGGTTATTGTGGATCCAAGCTAAATGAAAACTTTGACAACTTAGGTCTTTTCTCTGTTTATCAGCATGCTATTTGTGGGTTCATTTATGAGGAGTTTGGTTATTTGTTTTACACTAGGTTGAAGGTTATAGTTTGTGGTCTTCATAAGTATTTCAAGTTCGCTTCACTTCCAACAAGCAACATTGTGTCATCTGCATATTGCAGGTTATTAATGAGTCTTCTACAAATCCTGATGTCATATTCTTCTTCATGTAATCCAGCTTCTTGGATTATTTGCTCAGCATACAGAATGAGCAAATATGGGGAAAGGGTACAACCAGCCACATAGCTTTCCTGATTTAAAATCATGTAGTTATCTTCTTGTTCTGTTCAAACAACTGTTTCTTGGTCTATAGACAGGTTCCTCATGAGCACGATTAAGTCTCATCGAATACCAAATCTTCACAGTGTTATCCATAGATCCATAGTTTATGATCCACCCAGTGTAATAATGCTTGCATGTGATATTAACGAAATTGTTCAGTAACAGTGATTGCACGTTCTTTTGAGTCACCTTTCTGTGGAATGGACACAAGTACGGCTCTCTTCCAGTCGTTTCGCCAAGTATCTGTCTTCCACATTTCTTGGCAAACATGCTGTATCAGTTTGTCAAAAGATATGTTTGCATTCCATGAATTCCTGGAGTTTTGTGTATCACCAGTGTCTTCAGTGCATTGAACTTCTTCCTTCAGTACCATAGGTTCTTGATCATATGCTGCCTCTTATAGTGGTTGAACGTGGCTCTGTGTATTCCTTCCATCTTCTTTTGATGCTTTCTGCAGTACAACAGCTGTCCTTGTAGAAATGTTAAGCATATTCTTCCATTTTGTTCCAGAAGTTTTGGTCCATTCACATCATTACAGTCCACTCTATTCTGAGGAGGCCACTCCGCCCCAGTGGTATTTTGAGTGCCTTCCAAACTACGGGGCTCATGTTCTGGCAGTACAGCTGCCATTGCTCCACTGTTATCCTTAAGTTCAGTGATTAAGCATTCAGAATTGGTATGTCTTTCCTAATACCACTATCATTCAAATTTACCCACTAACTAAAAAGCCAATGATGAAGACATTGTAGAAATTAGAATGTTAAAGTTGGAAAGCAAAGTAGGAATAATTGGTAGTTGGAAAATATGGCCTTGGAAATAGAAATGACAGGAGCCCTGGTAGCATCGTGGGTTACAAGCTATGCTACTAACCACAAGGTCAGAAGTTCGAATCTATCAGCCTCTCCACAAGACAGATGGGACTTTCTGGTCCCATAAAGATTTATACTCTTAGAATCCCTGTACAGGGTCATTATGAGTCAGAACTCACTTAATGGCATGCAACCACTACCATCAATAGAGTTGACACTGAAGTCATTATTTAGTCTTGCAAAATTCTAAATACCTTTTTCAACAAAATACCCAGCAACTAAACATGTGGACTTAGCTACATGGGATACACAGAAATTGAATTGACCAGATCTGTGGGAGAAGACATTGAAAAAGCTCTGTTAACATCATCCTAAACAAGTCCAGGAGCATATTGGGGAAAAGACCATTATTTGCTCATATGAAATTTCATGCTGAAGCTGAAGAAAATTAAAACAAGTCCATGAGAGCCAAACTACGATGTGGAGTAAATAACAGCTAATTTTAGAGACCATAGCAATTAACAGATTTGATGCAATGACATACACGATTGACCATAGGAATTGTGGCATGAAATCAAAAACATCATTCATGAAGGAAAAAAAAAAGGTCATTAAAAAGACAGTAAAAGAGAAAAGACTAAAATGGATGTCAGAAGAGATTCTGAAATGTGCTCTTGAATGTAAAATAGCTAAAGCAAATAGAAGAAATGATGGAGAAAAAGAGATAAACAGAACGTCTAAAAATATAGTTTGAGAAGACAAAGTATTATAATGAAATGTGCAAACATCTGGAGTTAGAAAGCAAAAAGGGCTTCTTCAGCATTTTTTAAACTGCAAGACCTAAAGACAATATTCAAGCTTGCAATATTGAAAGATTCTTTGGGCAAGCAGAATGCTCTACTGATAGGCACTGGAATGTTAACCATAAGGTCGGCAGTTCAAACCCACAGTCACTTCTTGGAAACCCTATGCAGGGTTGCTATAATTTGAAGCTGAATCAATGGCACTTAACAACAATATAAGCAAAATATTGACAGAGGCAGGAAACATCAAAAGGATATGAAAACAAT